CAACTAAATTTCATTTTTAATGTGTGCCATTTTTCCCACAGTAAAAAATGACAATAAAGTTTGTCTGTCTGTCTGTCTGTCTGTCTGTCTGTCTGTCTGTCTGTCTGTCTGTCTATCTATCTATCTATCTATCTATCTATCTATCTATCTATCTATCTATCTATCTATCTATCTGCAATAGAATCAAAGAAAATACCCCATGTGTTTTGCCAAACATGGAGAGCGAAAGGACCTGCCCTTCCTATTTAAAATCAGGCTTTGAGCATAACTACAGGGATAATCAATTTTTCGTTCTCTGTGAGCGAAGAACTGCATTATTTTCTTTTAGATGAGATGTGGGAGTCTTGGGCAAGTATTAAATGAATCTGAGTGGTTTTGTCTCATTGGTTTTTCTGGCCTGGTATTTGTGAACCCTTGAACTTAATGTGGAATATGGCTGATGGTGTTTTGTTGGTTGAAGGAGCCTAACTATGGCTTTGAAAAAACTAAAAATAGGAAATGTGCACCATATCATAGTATAAACTCTCTTTACTACAGCTGGCACAAATGTATCAATAAGAAATTAGCCTTGCAGCACCGGGATCGGGATAAACACAAGAAGCAGAATGGCATCACAGTTCACTTGCTGAGAATTATTGATGCAATACCTGCAGTAGAATATATCGAACTGGGACGAGCTCTTTAGCCACTTGATAAAATACACATCAAATAGTTGCATGTACACAGGTGTGGGATTGCAAGTCATTCTTTTAAGAAGACAAATGTGCTGGCTCTCTCCAGCTTCTCAGATGCTAATTATAAAGCTGGGGTGTAGCAGGGACACCTCAGGGGTAGGAGATTTCTTTAAAAAAATATTTTCTGTAGTAATTGTAATAAAGGGAGGAAAGAACAAAGTCTAGGATCATAGTAATGAACTATGGTTTCTAGCCTGTCTCCCTGGATGATATAATGCACAGTATTTGATATAAAAATTGAGATCAACAATTTACCCATTCATAAATTTGGCCTATCAATACATTTAATGCAGGGCAAAAAATGTAAACGGGAATGGTCTTCAGCTCTCACAAGCACTGCTAAATACCTCACCGTCAGCAGCTCCCATTTGGTCTGTTTCCTGCTTCATAAGATGGGGCTGGCAATTCTTCACTGAAGCTGAACAGAAATTGTGCAGCTTTTTCCCAGGTGATGAGCCTGGGAGATGAAGCATGGAATCTATGTAATCATTGCCAAAGGCTGTCCAGCACCATCTAGCACTTCACCAAGGTCACCCACCCAATCCCTCCCTTGAAATCAACCATTCCCTCTGCTTTATTCCCACATTGCCTGGCAAACGTACTTTAGGTGTGACAATAACTTTGTCATTTAGAAATTCAGTTTTGCCCATAGGTGCTAGAAAGTCCCGTTGACCCATAAGAAACAAACACTGAGAAAATGTGAAGGCCAAGGGAAAGTTTTTGAACCTCAGCTATATTTTTGGAATTAGCAGGTATAAAATACACTGTTTTTACTGATAGTTGACTGAAGAGAATGAACCTGTTAAATTCCTCTGGGCGCGGCAAGATTTGAAGCATCCCGTTAAGGAGTTTCTGGTCATATTCTTCTCTTTTAAGGATAAATCTACCTCTTTCTCTCTTTATCATAAGGCACTGCACAGCAGGGGCTTGAATATATGCTAGAAACAATATATGTGGTTAGGACTAAAGCCAGAAAAATATATCAGAATAGTGAAAGAATCTATTCAATATTCCCAGAGTTCAGAAGGGTTTATTATTCCATGAAACAAAGTGAAGCAACTACATCAGATGGCAAATGTAGAGGATCCTTAGCAGTGGCCTGCCAATTCTCAACCTCCAGCCATTCTCCTCTATTGGAGAGCTCTATATCTAGCACACATTGCCTGGTGCCCTTCATCATGATGGAGGACATTGCTTCATTGCCAGTATTAAATAAACTCTCTCAGTTCAGATTGTTTCTCTGTATAGTTTGATAGTTAGAGAATATCATGCTTTGTCTAAAACATGCCAAAACCAAATTTTTAAGTGTTTGATGGACTGAATCTACAGGGGCCCTTCATGCTCCTTGAAGTGCCTAGTTCTTTCTATCAGATTTTGCTAAGCATATGTTAGGGGATGTATTCCTTCCCCAAACATATTTACTTTTGATTTATGAGAAAGAAACCTTTGTAAACTGACCTTTGGTAATCTTGGCTCCTATTCTGTGGGCAAATAGCCAACCTGAACCCATGTTTAATTGTGATGCCCTGTCCTTGTGCTCAGAGATCACACTGTCCTTTCATGAGCCTGTCCATCTGAACTAGGCCCAGAATGGGCATCCATCCCCATACTAGTATTTTTCCATTTGCCCTGGCATTGCTAATATTTGCCAAGCCTTCTTCATTGCTCAAATACTTCAGTGATTTCTGCTGACATGACAAGAGATAGAAACAGAAAGATGAAGGAAAGTTTTATGGCATTTTCTGTGGAGTCCTAGTGACACAGAGAGGTGACTGGCCCTTGCTGTAGTAAGGTGCAGTGGCATGCAATGTACAAAAATGAAGATCTACACACTGTGCACTGTGTATGTACACGGAAGTGGGTTTCAGCTGTTGCAAAGGTGTCCAGGAGATTGCTAATCAGTGCAATAGATCAATTATACCTTTCAACCTATAGAACTTTTTAGTACAGTGGTCACTGAGTCATTTAATTATGTGACATTAACCTTAACCCTTCTGCAGCAGAGCTGAAAGGAAATTACCAAAGCAATCTATTATTACTTGTCCCTCATTTTATCTTCATTTTAGATTGTAGTTCAGAATAATCCATCTATTAGAAAAAAGAGAAGACAGGCTATTGATACACCCAGCTTCAAAGATACATTCATTTTTGTCAATCATTTCTAGGGAACTTATGGTCCACATACCAGATCTAAATTTGATCAAATCCATTCCACCAGATCATGCCCTTCTCCTGTCCCTTTACTACAATGATCACTTGATAAAGAAAGAATATTGGAAATGGGACATTTTTGACTTTTGTACATATAAAGGAAAACAAAAGGAGAGATCTACCGTAGTCATTTATGTTCCTCAATGTCCACAAAGAAAGAAATACTCTTGTTTTATGTGGGGGATGGGAGGGAGGGATGCGCTGCTTGGTCCAATATCACACTAACCTCCAATCAAAGAAGGTACCTTAAAATTTAAGAGCCAGTTTGGTCTAGTGGTTAAAGCACTAGGCTAGAAAGTAGGAGATTGTGAGTTTAAATCCCCACTTTAGCCATGAAAGCCAATTGGATGACCTTGGGCCAGTCATTCTCTCTCAGCCAAATCCACCTCACAAGGTTGTTGTTGTGGGAAAAATAGGAGGAGGAAGGTGTGTTGAACATGTTCACCACTTTGAGTTATTTGTACAAATAATAAAGGAGAGTTACCAATAAATAAAAATAAATAATACAATGTTTGAACCCAGCCTATATCTACAACTGCACTTTCTTACACTAGAATAATATTATTTAAGTGGAGGAAAAGAATGACTAAAAATGACAGCAGAGATTTCGTTTGTTTGAAGGCAAAACATTTGTATTTAAAAATTAGCAATTAGAGATATTAATCAGATGTATAAAAGAAGTAAACATTCCTTAAATGCAAATGGATTCCCTACATACTATTTATTACCCAGCAAGACAAAAATAAGTATTTAAAGTATAGTTTTAATGGAAAAATAATTGACTAAAAAGTGAAATCAGACACAAACACAAAAAAATAAATGTCTATAAATATTGTACATTAATCAGAATTTGACAAATGAGAACTTAGAAACCAATATTTGTGTTTTAGTAGGATTTTTTTCTGTCTTTGCATTTTTAAATAACAGATAATGGAGATTTTGGCACTAGCTTAGAGATTTTCATTCTAAATTATATTGTTAAAATAATTTAATCTACATAAATATAATTTGATGTCAATGGTTAACTTCTAATCAAAGATATATCGAGCACTAATGGTATAACCTTAGTAATTTCTTTGTCCCCAGCTATTGTATATCTGTACCACTTCCCCCTTCTTTTCCTTTCACTTTTTCCTTCTAAAAAATAACTAATGATATTGGTTTTAAAAAGGAAAAAAGAAACAAACATCCCTACTACAAATGCTCTTTCATGAACTTTCTTAAACTATTCTGATGTTCCGATCAGTTTGGGCTTTCTGAAAGTTCAGGTTCAATGCATTACACTCATGCGTGCTTATACAGCGGTACAGGTAGTCCTTGACTTACAACCACATTGGAACCCAAAATTTCTGTCGCTAAGTGAAACACTTATTAAATGAATTTGCCTCATTTTACAACCTTCCTTGCCACAGTTGTTAAGTGGATCACTGCAGTTGTTAAGTTAGTAACACGATTGTTCAGCGAATCTGACTTCCCCATGGACTTTGCTTGTCAGAAGGCTGCAAAAGGGGATCACATGACGCCGGGACACTCTTAAATATGAGTCGGTTGCCAAGCACCTGAATTTTGTTCACATGACCATGGGGATGCTGTAATGGCCTTAGGTATGAGAAACGGTTATAAATCACTTTTTTCAGTACCATTGCAACTTTGAATGGTCACTAAACAAAACGTAAGTTGAGGATTTACCTGTACTGCTGGCCGTTGTGCTACTGTTGGGGGCAAACATTGATCTCCCTGCCTCCTAGTTAAGATCCTGCTATTCTACTCCTGTCACTCAGCTGCTTCAGAAGCACTGAATCTCTGCGGTAGCAGATTAACAGAGAGCAGTGAGAGATCATTATAAATTGCCAGATTTTTTTCCCCTCAGTGAGGAGTGGACTGTAGCTTATCCACTGACCCCAAGAAATGGGGACTAAAGTCAGAGGCAGTGCATAAAATTGCTGGAGGGAAAAGGAGATGCATCTGTACAAAAACCTGACAGCTGAACGAGGCATTTTTCATTCATAATATCATGGAAATAGATTCTGATTAGGCTGTTGGAGAATTACCTACAGGAATTCAGGTGAAGCTAGATTCCAAGGAACAGAAGTGTTGATTTTCATGTACCAGAGGTGGCACTTGTGGGATTCCCTTCTTCAGTCTCCTCTGACCTTGAAGACATTGGGCTTCCTTCCTTCTCCTGCTTCCTGGAGAAGACAGGAAGTTTACAATGTGGGGATTGTATCCTGTGTCTGAAGAAAGCTTATTATGTGGAGTAATCCAGGTGTTTCCTGATTGCTTCATCGAAGAGTTGATGTTAAGTCTCTTTTAGTTATGCACTGGGAACGTATTATATAACTTGAAGATACATAAGCATGCCCTAATTGAGAAGATAAGATGACATGTTACATTAGGGATGTTACACTGTACATCAGACATGTCAAACTCGCGACATCACATGACATCACGCAACGTATCGGGACGGTTTTGCAATTGCCGGCAATGGGGTGGGTGCTGCTTCCAGATGATGCGTGGGCTGGCAGTTTGACACCCCTGCTGTACATACACTTACTCAGGGGCTTCTGTGTATCATGTGGCATTGCAAAAATATGTATAATCTCCTGAACTTCAGCTGTTGCCATGCCTTTTCCCTCTTGTATAGAGCAATGTTCTGTAATGAGAAGTTGCTATTTATTTAGGGCTAGATTTAGATCTAGTGTGCAAGAATCCAGATAGCTATTTGATGGTAGCAAAGAGGCCCACAAAGCTCTCTTTATTGTATTTAGACTTCTGCAACCTGAAGCTTATCTTTTCATTCACAAAATTTTTATCTTGTAGAAGAACAAGAATCCAAACCTCCTGAATTAGAAGACTTGGCCCTTTGCTTTGCGACACACTTGTTTTCCATTCGATGGTTTTTTAAAATAAAAATAATTTAATGCCAAGTAAATCCAGGCACTTGATAGGCATGTCTGAGGGCACATGGGTATTCCAGGGCACTATTGTTGGTGATTGCAGCCATAGGAAGAACAAATAAAAAGCACAGAATAATGGAAAAGATATAGCTAATGCAACAAATACTTTTTCTCAGCCTTCAACCAGCAGCTGCTAAGAAAACAGAGGCTCAGGCTTATACCTACATTCCACGACAAAGCTGTTAAAACAGGCCTCAGGTGAGATTCCCCAGCTGTTTTCTAGTTCTTTTTTCCCCTTGATTTTCTTAAAATCAAAATCTGAATTATTCCTATTGTTTGTTTCCCCCTCTCCACTTCCTGAGTAAATAAATGTTTGGCAAGTGCTCTTGGCTATCATTAACATTTTGATTCAAAGTTTCATAATATCTTTGCTAATTAAAAAAATTATGTGCAAATGGCCACTTAAAAAGGCTTAGATAAAGCCAATCATTTTACCCAGCTAAATGGACTACAGTTTACTTCTGAGCTAAATAATACGTTTGTTCAAAACTTGAAACATTCTTAATTTCTTTTGTTAGTTAAATTCTTCAGTGTCTTTCTAAGGACTATCTTATTTTGTTATGTGTCCTTTCAGATGAAGAGTATGCCCTTCAAGCACTCTAATGATCCTGGATGAACACCCAAAGTATCCTATAGGAACATGTGAGTCCTCTGTCAATTATAGATGAGTGCCCCAGTCAGCAATTTGTTAACAATCTCTGCTGTGTTGAATATGAGTAATTCAAGGGATGAGATTTATAAAATAGAAATATAATTTATGCTTCTTCTCTGTTAAGTGGTATAGAGTATTACCAAGACCCAAACTATTCGAAGGAATATGAATTAAGAACCAGAGGAGCAAAGAAAAAAGTTGAAAGAGAGCAGAAGCAACAAACAAATTCTATCTATCATCTGTCTGTCTGTCTGCCAATTGATGAGAGTTGGACACCCCCTCCCCAGCCCAACTAAGAAATAATCTAGGAACACCCCAACTAAACTGGGTCAACAGCAGCCTGAGGCTAAAACAGCAAACACTTGACACACACAATGAGGAACCAGCTAGCAGCAATCAGGACACAACAATAAAAGTAATTAACACCTTTTAGGCAAGAAAAAGGAACTAACAATAGTCACAAACCAGCAAATCAAGAAAGACAAATTTTAACTCACCAATTAGAAATGGTAAGTTTGTTACCAATCAGAAATGACAAGTTTGGAAACCACAAAAGGGTATAAAAACCCCTGTTTAAAGATCACTCTGTCTAGCTAGCCGGGGACTCGAGCTGAATTGTCACTCAATGCTGATCCTCGAAATAAAACCTCTTTCTGGTAGCTGGCTTCACGATCTATTTCTTCTGCACTGCGCTGTCAAGGAGAATCCCGGCTGGAAGAACCGAACGGGGGAATTCCTCCCAACAATCTGGCGACCACGAAGGGACTCCCAGCTCACCCAGCCACCGGACCGGGCCCGGAAGAGTCATCACCCAGCCGGCAGCGGACACTTTGATCCGTGGGGAAGCCTCCTCGGACCCTGCCCGGTCGGCATCGGGTAGCAAAGGGAGTTTTTGAGTCTTATGCTCGAACAGCTACCAGGAAAGAGGGTAAGTGCCACCAAATTTAAATATATTAGGTTAAAGGGTCTGGGGGAACAAAAGGAAGAATGCATGAGTGTGTATGTGAGGCATCCTCCTCTTAGAATCAGCTGGAGCTCGCTCCCTCCGTGTGCCCTCTAGCCGCACCCCAACCTGCTGCTAGCTCTAGTAGAGCCGTGACCAGTGGAATTCGGGAAAGCAAGGGGGGGGCACCGGAGCGTGAGACCTTCTGGTGAGAGAGGAGGACCGAGCGGGCAGAGAAAGAGAGAGAAAACTCTATTCTGGGCAAGCCAGGACCCCTTCTGCCAGTAAATATTAAAGCAGTAGCCCCGAGCAGAGGTGGCCGCTCACCTCCGAGAATCTGTATTGGGAAAGAATCTCGCAAGGAGACTTCGACTGTGTATTGGGAAAGAAGTCTCGCAAGGAGACTTCGACTGTGTATTGGGAAAGAAGTCTCGCAAGGAGACTTCGACTGTGTATTGGGAAAGAAGTCTCGCAAGGAGACTTCGACTGTGTATTGGGAAAGAAGTCTCGCAAGGAGACTTCGACTGTGTATTGGGAAAGAAGTCTCGCAAGGAGACTTCGACTGTATTAGGAGAAAGAAGTCTCGCAAGGAGACTTCGACTGTATTAGGAGAAAGAAGTCTCGCAAGGAGACTTCGACTGTTAGTGCCCTTTAACATTGAAAGGAAAATCCCGTTATAAAAGAATGGGGAGTTCCAATTCAAGGGCTGAAGTGGGTTTAAAACCCCGTTATAAAAGGTTGGGGAGTTCCAATTCAAGGGCCGAAGTGGGTTTCCCAGTTGAGAGCTTGCTCGAAGCCTGGGACAGGAATCAGCTTCCTGTCTAGGCTGGAATGAAGAAGAAGCGATTAGGGGAATTATGTAGGAAATGGGCTTTGCTTAAAGATGACCGCGGGAGACAAATTTGGCCCGAAGGTGGCACCCTAGAAATCAGAATACTAAAAGAACTTAGGTCAAGGATAGAGCCAACCCAACTACCGTACTGGTATTGCTGGGTCGAACTGTCCAGACAGAGGAACCCGACCCAAGTCAACTTGGACCCCCAGCCTCCCTTAGATAACCCTGAACCGACCTTCATGGCCCCGAGGGGCCAGACAGGACACATTTTAACCCACACCCCTTTCTCCCCGTCCGATTTGGTTGTTTGGAAAAAGGATACTGCCACCTTTCGTGCGGATCCTCAAACCGTTATAGAGACCATAAAGTCTATTGTAGACACTCACAATTGGATTTTGCTGCTTCTGGTCTTTCCTAGACGCAGAAAGGATCTGTTTAATTGGCAGAACCTGGAAAGCATGGGGGTTGGCCAGAGCACAGAACCTTTTGTTAGGGAAAAGGGAGAGAATGTGTGAAAATGAAATGGAATGAGTGAATGAAAGAATTGGATTTGGGCAACTAGCTGGTAAGGCCCTGTAAGCAATGCAAAGTTAGGAAAGAAGTCTCACAAGGAGACTTCGACTGTGTAGTGTATGAAAGAAAGACTTTGCTTAGGGCCTTGCTGGGAAACCAATTTGGCTAAATAAAGGTACTTAAAAGGGAAAATAAGAAATAGTGACTCTCTCTGTCTCTCTCTCTCTCTCTCTCTCTCTCTCTCTCTCTCTTCTCTATGCAACCACGTGGTATGTTTAAAATATGTGCCTTCCCTAACTTGAGTTATCTGAAATTTATGGTGGGAATGACTAGGATGTGTAAAACTAAGACTTCTGTTCGCTTGTCTTTGTGTATATGTTTGTCAAAGTCTGTGCGTGAGAGGTAAATGTGACTATTAACTGTTTCAAATCCAAAGAAAAAAGAATTTTAAATTCTGCTAGAAATTATGCTTAAAAATAAGCCACAAAAAGGAAATACCTCACTCTGTTTGTCTGGCCAACAAACAGAGTGAAGAAAAAGAATGGTGTTTGTTTGTTTGTTTGTTTTCCTCTTTCTCTCTGTGTACGCTCAAGAACAGCCTTAAGTTACCAGGAGGGATTGTTTTTAGTTTATCTGTTGGAAAAGTTTCACTTGCATTTACTGTATGTGTTTTATCTTTCCTTTTCCTGAAAAATGTGTGTCTATCTACAAGAGCCTTTTGAAACTCAAGTCTGCTTGTGTGGGGAAATAATTTTTTAAAGTTACTTTTCTTATCCTATCACTTACTGGTGAAACTACTATGAAGCTTTCTGAAACATAAGCATTTCTCAATCTCTAAAATGATGTGGTCTATTTTAGAATAAATGTTCTCCTACCTCTGGAAAGTTGCACACCTTAAAATATTAGGCTTTTAAAATTATTTGGAGTTTTCAGCATTTTCAAACTGCCTGCAAGTTACCCCCCTTCCAATTCTTTTCCTGCCCTTTGTTCTCCATACCTTTTGTCTGCCTCTCCTGGTAGAGTCCACCCAGAAAGCGGGGGGGGGGAGACCTTGTTCTTGTATCTTTCAGCCCTGAAACCCTCTCCAAGCCTTTGGAAGCAGAACACACAGACCCAGATGCTGCCTCCATCCATTTGAGCCATGGAATTGGGTTTTGAATCCAGCCATCCACTAAAAAGCCACCATGCAATCTGAGTGGGGAACATCTTCCCAAGTCCTACCATTTACCCAGATGCCTGTAAGAGCTGCAGAAGGAAGGTGGTGCCATGTGAAGCCTCAGAAGAGAAAATTAAGACTGTGGGGGGAGGGTGGAAACTCATTGTAAACTTTTCTTTCTTGCCCCATTTGTATTGTAACAAGCCAGTTGAATGTATTAGTGGAGAGATGGCACTTGGGAATAGGTGGCAGAACAAGTACTGAACACCTTAGACTTCTATCTGGTGGGAGGGAAAACTTT